TGAAGAATGAACTGACCCGTTAGGCAAGTAAATGTTGAAAATGGCCACCATGACCATCCATGCAATAATAAAGATTTTGCTCGAAAAGTTGCCGCACATTTTGAGGAGTAATTTGAAGGCACTCATTCACAATTCTTTGTCGCAGGTCTTCTAATGATGTTGGCTGAGTAGCATAGATTTTGCTTTTTAAATGACCGCACATTTAAGAAGTCCAAAGGTGATAAATCTGGCGATCTTGGGGGCCATTCAATGGCACCTCTTCTACCAATCTATCGATCTGGAAATGTCTGATCTAAATATTGTCGAGCACGTAATGCGTAACGTGGTGGGGCACCTTCCTGTTGGAACATCAACCTATACGCAATGTACTGCCGATCATACTGATTTTCAATTATGGCTGTTAATGCAGGATCTATGGCGTCTTCCAGTAATTCCAAATACATTTCACCGGTCAAATGATCGCCAAAAATACCTGCCGAAACATTTAATTTTTGTGACTGCCGTGTATGAATCTCATGATAAATTCTGGGATTAGAATCGGACCAATATCGGCAGTTATGACGATTTACTACGCCATTTAAGAAAAAGGAACATTCGTCGGAAAAGCAAGTGTTGAATAGAAAATGTTCATCGTTTATAATTCCTTCACTCATATCTTTACAAAATTGTAATCGCCGATCAAAATCGTCTTCATTAAGTTCTTGTACCAGGTGAATTTTATACGGATGAAAACTATGGGCCTTTAGAATCCGTTTGACAGTACGTCGACTAACACCACACACAGTCTCCAATTTGCGGGTACTTAACGTAGGATCTACATAAACTTGCCCTAAAAGCCCCAGTTCTATTGATTTTTTTTTTCGTTCATTATGGGATTTTCAATGTTGCGTTTTTTATTGGCGACTGACCCAGTTTCCCGAAATTTAGCTACAAGTTCCAGAACATATTTTCGATGCACATTACTGTTCTCATGTCGCTCATTAAATATTTCTGCTGTTCTATTAGCGCACTGATATTTCCGAAAAATATTTCGATAATTTCAAATCTTTCTGCTGTGGAATATACCATGGTTAATTTATGTAATAAAGCGTTACAAGTTATTTTAGCAACAAAGTTTGGTCAAATCAATCGCAAACTATGTACTAAATTCCTATTTAAAATAAGTACGAGATATTTCCTTATCTTTCTTCAAGAAATAACTTTTTTGCCACAAAAAAACGCCCCAATAGCTATTTTCAACAAACCATGGGCGTAGTGAAGAAAAGCGTTTACTTATTAAGTAAATTCTTTCAGTCAAATTTCTTCTGAAAGTAGTACAAACTAATCTGATGTGCCTATTAAAGTCTACTTTAAGCTTTAAATCAATAAATCTTCAAAACTATTGAACTGAAGCTCATGTATTTTACATCATTATAAAGGGAATTGAAAGACCTTTGAAATAAGGTATCACTCGACCCCCCTTTCCATTTAAGATTTTAGGGTTGGTGTCACCCCCACCCAGGGGGCTGCACGTGTTGTCGTGATTTATTGCCAAACTTGTGTCCCCCTCGATAACAAAATCGACGGGTCTGAGCTGCCAGTAAATGCGTCTGTTTCGTTTTCGATGCGCCACCCTGTATATATATATATATATAGTAAAATCATTTTCAATATGTTGTTATAAAGAGTGCGACAGTGTGGGAAGGCGCGGAGCGCTGATGTGAATTGCCGCGTTGCCAAACGTTACAGCGTTTTCTTGAATTATGATGCATGGTGGATATAAGCTTTAGATTGTTTTTTACATCCAAATAATGCTTTTACCTTGAGCGTACACACTCCTGAATGACGAACTATGTCGGATCGGTTTAGAAGCGACTCCAGATCGGTCTCCGATTTTAGGTTATTCGATTCTCCGATTTTAGGTGGAACTGAAACTTCAGGATCGCCACAAATTCTGAAATATTGCGTCATTAGTTGGACAACACCGCAAGGTTTCCACTTTCATGGATTCATGATTGTCATGTCATTATCATGTAATCGTTTGAACACCGGTATGCCCCACTTTTGTTAACGAATTCACAACAAAAGCTGTCTTTAATGTTTTTGTTCATACCTACCTGAGTAAAGGGATTTTTAGTAAGGCTGAGTTAATATTGAAATGTAATAAAACAAACTGTGTATGCTGTATTAACGATATTCCTTTTTTATTGATATTCCTTTTTTATTTAAGGGAGTTTGTATAGAATATGACATAACTCATCTATCTATACATCGTAGGTGGCAAGGTTCAAAGAGTTCAAATGTTAGTAACACGCACAGCTACTACTGAAACTTCTGGGAGGATTTACTCTCAATAGATTGTCTAAGTTACATAACTGTGGCGCATTTAATTTCAAACAAACGAAAATATAATCTTAACACTAAACATACCATCACCGGTCAAAAAGACACTTTATGAACGTCTGCATTGAAAATGAGCATCTTATTGCTTTTGTAAATTTGACTTCATGATTTATTTATCAATTATATGAAGATATAATTGTATTCTGTTCATTTTGAGTAACACTTGCCACGACTTCTGCCACGTTATTCAACCACAACCGGCTATGGTAGAAATAGGTATGATTTAGGTTTTAGTAGGTATATTTAGTGTTAACATCACGAATGCCTTGATTACATGTAACGAGTACAGTGGCGAGACAGTGTATTCGGCCTAGTGCTCGGTTAGTATCTCTGGCGGATTTAGATGGGGGCGTTAGACACTTGCTTTTGCAATCTAACACCATTGTGTTACTTTCTGTCATCACCTGCTGATATAATAGACGTGCTTGATTGTGTCAGTATTTGCACCATTTACTTGATTTGTTTAATGGGCAGTTCAGAGTAAATCCTTAAGCTTATTATATACTAGTAGATCCCGTTGCGCAATTTGTCTATAGGCAATCTGGAGACGGTCTCAAAACACGATCTATAGATGGTCTACAGACATATTCTTCTTCGTCTTGTCTCGCGTCCATACGATAATGTGAATTTTTTCGTCTCATGTTCGTTTTCGCAATCATAAGCATTGTTTTGTGTGGAATGGACTGGGATATGTGTCGGGGTCCCTCAGAATGTTTTATTTATTTTTTTGTCGGTTAACAGAGCAATGAAGTTTTTTATGTTTGATTCTTTAATATTAGGTGTATTATACTAGTTAATTATAAATGCCACGTACTTATTTTGTTGTCATATAATAAAATATTGCCTTTCTGAGGATTTAATAGCAATTTCCATTTTTTTTTCAAGCTGGCCCTGACCAGATAGAACACAATGGATTTAACTAGCAATAATAGGATAAATTCTAGGAGTTCCACTGAGATTAAAAAATGACCAGCCTCAAGTATCGTTTGCGCCCCCCTAGACGAAATCCTGAATCCGGCCATTGGTTAGTATAGACACGTAACCGAGCACTCGGACAAGCAGTCGAGTACTGGACCCGGTACTGCCAGTAGGAGAGCCAGACAGTCACACGGACCCTTTTCTACTTACTAGACTGAGTGCCATCCCCCCTACCTACTCGGTATATCGTTTGAACAAGCACTCGGTGTGCTATTACTCACCATCTAAAGCAACTCTGTCTAGTTTTATATTGTGGCTGTATCAATTTGAAACTAAATATGGCTAAGAATATATAGGACTGTGATACCACAATTAAATTCATGCAGTAATAGAAATTGCATTCTTGTTAGTGGAATTTGGAGTCGTCAGACTACAAAAAAAATCATAAGCGGGATGCTGCAATTGTGGCAATAGTTCAAGAAATGGACATTGATGGCTTTGGTGTGCAAGAAGTCAAAAATAAGATTAAAAATTTGAGATACAGGTACAGTCAAACATTGAACAAAGTTAAGGGTTTAGAGGTCAGCAGATGGGTTCAATAATGTGTATACTTCAAACATCAGGTGGCTCAAGCAAATAGAAGAGGTGTTTATACACGGATATACACGCTTCTCTTTTTTGGCACAATAATTCATATAGTTTTTCTATCATAAGTGCGATGAGTAGCTTTGTATATTTCTTGATACAGAGATTACGATCCATTTTTATTAGCAAAACCAGCCCCCGCCTTTCTATCGACAATGCACTGATTCGCAGAAAAGCTCTAGATACGTGTGAGCACTCGCCCGTACAACTCTCTCTACCTAGTAATATTTTGCTGTCTCGCCACTGTATTCGTTACATGTATCAAGGCACAACGGTAGGTGGAATAACTACCGGGTACTCGACCGAGTACTCGGTATTCAAATCTGATCGAGTATACGGTACTTGGCGTTTTTAATAAAGTCGAACTCGGAGCATCCCTAATTTGTTTTAATCTAAATTTCTCTCTAAAAGTGCGAGTGCTTGCAGATAAATGTGTTGTTAGTCAAATTCAGGACATGATACTTCTTGCATAATTTGGAAAGAGCGGCACAAGTCTAATGAAGGTAGACCTTTCCACCCGTAAGTATTATTATGTTGATGCAACGTTGTCACTTCGGCAGGCAATAGTAATCAAATGAGTTAAAACTAGTCCATTTTGGCGAAAAATGATGCAATATGAATATACAGGGTGTTTCACAACTTATCCGACAACATATGCACTGATACGAAAGAAGTAGATTTCTAAAAAAAACACACTTATAAAAGCTGTTCAAAATTGTTTCCGTTGACTGCAATGCAAGCTTGGGTGCGTCTCATCCAATTTCGGCGCACTAACTCAAATACACCTCCTTCCTGCCGTGCCTGAAGGCTCAAATTATCGGCAGTCACTGTGATTCGGTCACGCAATTCTTCAATATTGTGAACTGGAGTACGTTGTGCCTCGTTTTTCAAGTATCCCCATAAAAAGCAGACCAGAGGATTTAGATCGGGAGACCGTGGAGGCCATGCAATTGGTCCACAACTTCTGATCCAGCGTATCTGGTATACCAGATTCAAAAAATCACCGAAATCTAAACGAAAATACGGAGGTGCCCCATCGACAATACCTGCCCACACGTTTAAAGAAAAACGATGTTGGAAGTGTGTCTAGACCACTGCGTGAGGATTCTCAAAGGACCAAACGTGTGTATTATGAAGATTGGTTATCCCATTACGAGTAAAAATAGCTGTGATTTGTTTGTATTGGAAATAAAGTTACAAACATTTCTAGTTTCGATAACTGAATCACGACACCCTCCGTTTACCAGTCTATTCAATACGGCACCTTTAGCTGACTGGCGATCAGACTTTCTAGAAATATGCAACCAAGCATGCAACTGATTAGAGTGGAGGTGTTACTGACCTAATCCTTGTTGTTTGAATTTAATATGCTACAGCTTAGTCGTTTGGCTTACTCGGCATAAATATCATTCAGCCATAGCCAAGAAGTTCGTACAAACACGGATATGAGTTTTGATTGTTGTTTCCATTTTTACGGCGTCTTGCCATTGTTTGGAATTTAAGCATCAATAATTTTCAACATGAAAAAGCTATATTTGTAATAACCTGTGAAAGATTAATGCCTTGTCCATTTCATTAAATAAACACAGACAACAGAACTTATTTTTTATTAAAAACAAGCAATAGATGTACAATATGCATATACAATATGCAACATAAATAAATAGGAACTTTTAATAAGTTATGAACTTATCACAGCTAGAAATAATCTTAACACAGTGTTTTAGCTCATATCAATGAATTAATTCTTGCTAGGGGAATATACAGAGTGTCTGCGAAAGGTTGGGAAATCTCAAAACTGGAGATACTACAGACCAAAATATGTGAGTTGACCTAAACCAAGGTATGTTTAGGTCAAGTCACATATTTTGGTCTCTAGCATCTCCAGTTTCAAGATTTCCCAACCTTTCGCAGATACTCTGTATACTACGAGCCTTATGGCTGACCAAAAATAAAATAAGTACACCTGCCCACTGTTCAAGATATTGATTCGGTGAACCAACAGTACCAAAATATAAGAACAAATATAACCCAGCATTCCTAATATTCTACTATTGCCAGTACTGCCAAGGAGCTTCAAAAAGGTGTTCCTTCGACCCCTCGGCGTTCCACCTTGACATGGTTCATCTGCCATTTGTAATACAAAACATAGTACGTACACATGCATCAATTCTATAATTGCAAATTTCAGCTCACTGATTTGACCTGTTCAAAAAAAAGTAGAGAGGATTTTTAAAAATAGAATGATAAAAACAGTCTGCGGTCTCAGGAAAATCTAAACTAGTAAAATGAATAATAGTAGTTATATCCAAGTACATGATAATATTATATCTCAGAAAGTTATGACGTATCTGTTAGGCTCTAAGGCATGATTCTAGATTGTCATTTAGAAGCTATTCAATAGAATCAATTCCTTAATACTTCTTGAATTTCTTGTAAAGTTTTTCCTCTCGTCTCTGGTACCAAATAATGTACAAAAATTGTTGCCACTCCCATTATTCCTGCTATAATATAGAACGTTACATGGCTACCAAGATTTTCTGTCATTATTGGAAAAGAGAACGTTACCACGAAAGCAAAAATCCAGTTCGTTAATATAGATATGCCACTAGCTAAGCCTTTGATTTCAGCAGAAAACATCTCTCCTAGCAACATCCAAGGAACTGGTCCATAACCAAAAGAAAACGCTACCATGTACAGGATGGTGCTTCCTACAGGTATGAATGCAAGATGTGAGGTGTTGATGTTTAGATATTTCAAGTGGAAGAACATCCCAAGGGATGCTAGGCATACCAACATTCCTGACGACGAACTCATGAGATAGAACTTTCTGTTTGCTTTTTCTATGACAAAAATCGATATGTACGAGACAATCACTTGTACTAATGTTATCACTATAGCAAGCAGAAATGGTGATGTACTTGTACCAGCTGCTTTGAATATGTTTACAGTATAAAACACCATTGCGTTTATGCCACATAGTTGTTGAAAAGCTAGTACTCCAACTACTGCTATCAAAGCTTTAATGTTGGACCTGTTAGAAAGTATGTCTTTGATGCCGACAGATGAGTTGTTGGACTCGAAAATTTCTTCCTCTATCATTTTTAGCTCAATAGAAACGTCACAGTCCTTGCCTCTTAATCTACGTAGGTTTGCTTCTGCTCTCATCATCCTGTTTCTTCTCACCAAGAATGTTGGTGTCTCTGGCATGAAAAAAAATGTTGCTAGGAATACTATAGGTGTTGTGCCAAGGACAAATGTCAGACCAAACCAGTCTGTGACGTAACCTACTATGCATGTAAATAGAATTCCACAAGAGAGAAACAATTGAAAGAATGACCCAAACTTTCCTCTGTTGCTACTTTCGGATATTTCTCCTATGTACATTGGAGCTACGACGCATATACCTCCTAGTCCAACCCCTGCAAAAAACCTGGCAGCCAGTAGCATCTTAAAATCAGTAGCTAGACATATCAACACCCAGTTAATCAAGAAGGACGTTGCCAGTCCCAATATGGTCGCCTTTCTCCCAATCTTGTCAGCTAAGTATCCAATGGGCACCGCACAAATCAAAGCTCCAATAGTAAGCATGGAACCTACTAGAGCTCCTTGACTAGGTGTGATAGTAAACCCAGGTTTTCCATGTGGATGTTCCAGATCTGCTTCCGTGCTCAAGTTGGTGGTGTTGATGACCGTTGACAGAATGTGAGGTAGTGCAGGTGAGGTCCATGAGAGTACAGTTCCGGCACAAAAAGCTCCCATTGACACTGCCAATAGAAAGATATGAATTAGATTTTATAGTTAAAGAGAAACTTGCTTATGTACTGAACTAATTAACAATGGATCTGGACCTCATTTCTCTAGCGAAGTAGGCTAGATGTTCCCTAGAAAATGATTCTAAATTCTGATAGCTGTTGATATCTATGAAACAAGATTGTGAATGCTTCGACAAAATAATATATTCCTATGTTCTTCTTACAATTAAACGTTTCATCACGAAGCTGACTTCGTCTTTATACAGGGCGGGTCAGAAAGATCTCTCCGATTTGGAAGCCGTCTAACTACGGCTATGGGGAGGGGGGGTGGTATAGCGCAGTGGGGGTATATCGTTCGACGCACGATACACATACACTGGGATAGGATATTGCGCCTGTGGGCGGAGCTTCGTGACGTCACCCGGAGAGTTGTCGGATCGTGGTTACCAGCGGCAGGATTCTCGTAACATTACTGCAGTTCACGTGTATCGTGGTTAATACTATATAGTGCGATTTGTTGGTGTTTTTTTGGTGGTTTTATCACCTGTTCTATTAGTTATACATACTTTATATAGCCTGTGTGGTTGATAAATTGTTAAAATTGCGGTGTGATGCAGCGGGATGTAATTCCGACAACCAGTCTGAACGGATTCCTTGCAAAGGCATGAAGTTCTACAGATTTCAAGACACAAATCTTAGCTAAAAATGGCTAAATCTGACAAAAAGAAAAGACAAAGTCAATGTAAAAAGCGCACTTTTGTTGAAAGTATCTATAAGGTCAATTTGAAACATAACCTTTTGGGTTACACCCCTAAAAGATATTGTGCTCTAAAAGATGATGCCATTCCTCTGGATAATTTACCCAAGACTCTATCATCACCTAGACCATCTACATCTGTTGCGTAAAAGTGCTTACGAAAAAAGGCAAAGGGCTCAACTTATCCGATAGAGTTTAAGTATAGAATACGGTCATATATTTTGGGGCGAAACGAAAGCGCATACTCAGAATATTGCAGCGTAGAGGAAGAGGATACTTCGGACATTCCACTAACCGCATCATTAACGAATAAACTGAATGCACCTGAAGTATCAGCTGACTATAACGAGGAAGTTTTAGTGGAAGAAATGGATGAGCTCGAGTATGATGGGCTGAAAAATTTGGCCCGCTTTGTTTGCCATAAATTGCAGGATGAGAGGTTGAAAAGTTCCTCAAATGAAACTTACTCCTGGATAGACCAGCTTAGTGAGAGTGGATTATCAAAACCTTCCACTGCTTTCATGAATCAAATTGAGAAGCTCACTAAGGTGTTTACTACATTCAATGGGGACGGAATAGTGACAGACAAGCAAAATTTGATAGGCGAACTTGAAGAGCAGCAACATTGACTGCACTGAAAAAGCTAAGAAACTCTTTTTCAGATCTAGGATGTTCTTCCGGATTAAAGAACTGAGTAAAAGTTTGAAAGACCAGAAAAATCGTGAAAGGAAATGAAGAAAAAATGTGGCTTAGACTAAGTCATTGCCATTTATTCTTATACTGCCAGCTTACTGCAAAAATATGATTTTTCTACTTTTCGAGTTGCGTACATTTTCACACTTGCATGCAGTTAGTACTTAGGATGTTCTGTGAAATAAGGATAAATAACTGTAGTGCAGTATTAACATCATGAGCATGATAATCCTGCCCCACAGAACATACTAAAATAGAGCTAATGTAGAAAAATCTTGTTTTTACAGTAAAGTGACGATACACGCTCTATGGATGTTGTGATTGCCCTCAGGTGGTAGATGGTCTCGGACTGTCGAACGCGGAGGTACCACCCGGCGGTTCTCGTAGGCGGAGCCAGAATGTGTGCATGTTGCATGCACACGTATTCCCTCGCCAGACTCCGTGTGGCATCCCCCCTTTCCCATGTATCCCCCTAAAGCCCCACGGTACCGAATGGGTGCTTAGGCCTTAGGCCTTCGTGGTAGTTGGAGTATGAAAAAAAATTGTGGAGCTAGACAGCCGTTTAAGCTATAGCCTGTGAGATAGGAATTACAAGGTTGAAATCGTTTATTTAAATCCGCTATTTTGTTTTGTATGAACTTTTAATGTAGATTGTGTTACTCGCACCGCTAAGACGAATCCAACGACACCTCATATGTGAAAATCTATCAAGCCGTTTGAGCTGCAGACTATGAAATATGAATTACAAGGTTGAAATCTTTTATTAAAATCACCGCTAAGACGAATCCAACAACACTTCATATGTGAAAATCCGTCTAGCTGTTTGGCCTGTAGGTGGAAATATGCACGTTTTCCATATCAACCCAAATGATAATCACTCTCCGCGTGACGTCATGCGTGCCGGCGGACGAAAATCCGAAATTGGAGTATCCGGCACTGCGTTTGACGTGTCTATCCTTGCCATGTTTAGTGTAAACCATGACTTGACTTGCACCGCGCTTTCGTCGTTGAATAGTTTATTCTGAATGGCGGTTCGCCTATAATCGCTCAACCTGCCTTCGCAGTTACTTTCAGAAAGAAAAAAGTGAGATAATTATCAAATGGATGTCAAACTTTCGAGAAACAGAATAGGAATGGAAAAGAAAATATTCTGGTCGACCTCGAATAGCGACGGAATCGGCAAATGTAGCCTCTGCGAGGGCATCAATTCAGCAATCTCAGAACGTATGCACGCACCTGCTTTGCGATTATCAAATCGAAGTGTTCGGATAAAATTCTCATTGAGCAGGAGTTGCGTCCAAGAGATCGTGGAACATGACCATTGTGGGCCAAGAACTTCGCAACATTCCTCGTATGGACATTTTGATCTTCAGTGATGAGGCCAATTTCCACCTTTCGGGCGAGGTCGAAAAACAAGACTGCAGTTACTCTGAAAATGACCCTCAACAACTTCATGGACGGCCACTTCATAATCCTAAGGTTGCAGTCGTGTGTGCCATTTCTGAATTTGGTGTGTAGTTTTACTCTTACAGTAAACGCACATCGCTATTGTGTAATGAGAACCCAGAACCTCATGACGATGAACATGGTCGAAAACAGGTGTGGTCTCAATAAGATGGGGCAACAGCCCACACTGCTTCTCGTTCAATGACAATTCTGGAAGAAATGTTTCCTGGGCACGTTGTTTCTTTGCGGAGTGACATCGGGTGCCCTCTATATTCACAGGATATAACTCCATGTTATTTTTTTCTTTGAGATAACCTTGAAGAAAAGATGTACCAACGCAGCCCCAAACTCTTTACACTTTTAGGGAGATTATAATCCCGGAAATTGCTGTCATTCCAACTAACATGATCGGCAGAGTAATGGAAAATTAAAGAAGATTGGCTCACTTAGTGTATGAACAAAGGAGGCCCACACTTGTGTGGTGTCATTTTCAAAACCCGTTGACTTAAGATGGCACTAGGTATGCTTATTAACAAATAAAGTTGTCTATATCTTGATTAGTTTAGTTTTTATTAGCTTTCTAAATCGGGGAACTTCTTCTTAAAAATGATAGCGACTCTTCTATAAATGTTTAGAAATCCAGCTTCACGAAAGGTAAAAGTACCACGCCTCATTTCTCTCAGTTATTTTACTCTCTCATTTCCACACCCCAGATATATAGTCTTAGAATATAATTGTGCAAAATAAGACTTGTTTAGAATAATTAGTTAACACCATGATTTTGCATGCACATTAGTGTGATATTTTTTAATCAAAAAGTCACTAGACTTACATATCTTGAGCTTCTGGCATGATCCGCCCAACTCTTGAGCTATTGATGTTTCTTGAGTAGCTAATGATTTTTTCCAGATAGCACAAACAATTTACCTATACGTATATTGATTAATATTTTTAAATGAAAGCTCTTGAGGAAATTTGTATTTAAAACCTTTTAGAAAACAATGAAAATCTACATCTCTTTAAAATATCTTATTTCGTAAGCGATAGATAGAAAAAATATATTTATTGTATCTTCCGTTTGTTTTCAAATGAATAAAAGAAAAAACCTTTTTAAAAACAAACTTTTTATTTCTCTTGAAGGCTTAAGGTATGCCGTTTTTTTTCTTCTTTACCTTTAAATTATAACGAAGCTCATTCACCCCACGCTTGCAAATAAAACAGTGTTACAGGAGAGAAAAGGGGTGTAACACGGTTTTATTATTTAAAGCTTAAGAAGTATAAAATGGTATATTTCCAATAGCGTAAAATTATTTTTAAGTTTTTTCAATGCCCCGCCTAAAAAAGTACGGAACACAAATTTGTCCGCCTCCCTGCACTCTACCAGTAAATTTTGTATTTCAAAACAACTAATAATTCATTATCTTATTGGAAATCAAGAGCATGATTATTTAGAACACGATTGTAACAAAGCCGGATGGCGTAACAACAAGCATTGTTATAAAATTCTTGAATTATTTGTAATGTCTTAAAAAGATTTAGTTGTGATTGAAATTAATAGCACATAAATATTTGGAGAGGACACAAAGGGATTAGTTTGCTCCTCTTATCACTTGTTGACAGGTAAAACTTTGTGAAAATAATGCAATGCAGAAACAATTTATCAATTGACATTGAATATATTGAATAACAATTCCTAAACGTTCAAGGATACCCAATTTTTTTTAGACTTTCCAATGACACGGTGTTGAGTTGTTACAAAAGTATCGAACTCAAGTAATGTAATATCGCACACAGTAATGGAATGTCGATCGACAGATCAAATTTTACTCTGGAATAATGTGAAACTTTATTTTTTAGAAGGCCTAAATGATTACAGAGTCATGTACCTAATGACACTTGATGGCAGGCGACTAATTTCTAACCACGTTGTCTGTGACCATTGTATTTATTGTAAGAAACGCTATGGAGATGAGGTAGCTCAATTATGGTAAAAAATATATACAGGGTGTCCGCAAAGTTGGGGTTTTCCTTTTCAGAAACAACTACCCTTGAAATAACAAAGGTAATGTGTAGTGAAACGAGGGCGACCAAGTGAAAAAAAAATAAAGGAAAAAGT